TAATAATAATATGTGTCAAAGTAATATCCCCATGAATGCAGTGACCCAAGGTTTCCCAGCAGAACATTGCCCAGAGCATCACAGTACCTTCTTCTCATGGTGCATGCTGGTGCCACCTCTTCCCCAGTTGACTGTGACTCATCAGACCAGGCCACCGTCTTCCATTGCTCCATGGTCCAGTTCTGACACTCACATGCCCATTGTAGACACTTTCAGCAGTGGACAGGGGTCAGCATGGGCAGTCTGACCAGTCCGTGGCTATGCAGCCCCACACTGTCACCTCTGGCTTGCAAACTGGGGGCTTTGGGCAGGGATAATGTAACGCGCTTTGAGACAATGCAATGTGAAAATGCACTATACCAATTGAAAGTGGTTTTATATGGAATCAGATTTGTGCCAATATTATCAAGCAAAACTTTCTTGACATCAAGCAAAAACAAGGCTTCGAGAAGAAAAAAAACTTTTCGAAGCCTTGTTTTTGCTTGATGTCAAGAAAGTTTTGCTTGATAATATTGGCACAAATCTGATTCCATAGTTTTACTGTTATGGCCGAGCAATGTAAATTCTCGCCAGTCTCATTTCAGCAACACCTCAGAAGAAGAATTTAATGTAGTAACAGATTTCTTTGTCTTCTGATCTGCTGCTCATGTCGTGGATCAGCACTTGAGGAGCAAAGGCTGCTGTGAAGTATCCAGATTGGTGCCCTATTCCAGCTTCAGATTCCTGAAATGCATTGTGGTACCTGCTGTCCCTCCCTCTTTATGCACCATGGGTGTCCCTGGCTTGCCATTGGCGTAAGGGGGGAACAGGGGCACAGTGATCGAGCAGTGCCCATCCACTGCCCTGTACTTGTGGGTGATATCCTGAGGATGGTCAGCTTTGCCTTCTTAATCGTTTCTCTTTTGTCAGGTCTTCGCCATTGTCGTTTTTGGGAGCATCACGGCTGAGGGCTACATCAACCCCTCGATTCACGTCCAGGAGGTCAAGTGCATGTTCAACCAGAACGACAGTGCGTGCCGTTACGGCGTGGCCGTGGGCGTGCTGGCCTTCCTGGCCTGTATGGCCTTCCTCGTCCTGGACGCTCTCCTTCCTCACATCAGCAACGCCATACAGAGGAAGTACATTGTCATCGGGGACCTGATCTTCTCAGGTAGGTGGACACTCTCCTGCCCAGCCCCTCCCCATTCTGATCCCTGCCCTTCCTATTGGCTTCCGTTTGTAGCCCCTCCCCTTGTTTGTTGGCCAATCACACAGCATTAGAACTGTAATATGGAATAAATGAAAATCATCTCTGACCACATCCCCTGGACAGAGAATTTTTACAGAAAGAAAATCGGCTCAGCAGTTTGTAGCCCTGCAGGTTCGGATTCTGTGCCTGTGATCATAAGGTCATTGGTTCAAATCCCAAAGCTGGCAGACTGAAGCCTCTCCTGGGCCCATAAACAAGGCCTTTCTGACCTGTATGTGTGTCTGTGTGTCTATAGAGTGAGATGGGGAGGCAAAAAGAGAATTTCCCCACGGGGATTAATAAAGTGTCACTCTTCTATTTTATTCTGTAGTTTAATCTACACGTAAGTGCCCTGCAGGTGTTAGATGTGCACCATTCTTCCTGTGTGGTGGTGGATAAATGCAATATGATTATAGTATGTCTCTAAAACTCAGTTTGACACATTTGCCGTATGATATTGTCACCCAGCCTAATGTTCTGAGCTTTCGCCGTCTGGCTGTCCAGACGACATTGGCGTGACAGCAAAGCCATCTGTCTGAAGGAGGACGAGTGTGATGAAGGTGGAACTCGACTGAGTGTCTGAAAGCTGTCCCCCTCTCCCCCCCCCAGGAATATGGAGCTTCCTGTGGTTCGTGTGCTTCTGCCTCCTGGCCAATCAGTGGTCGCACACGCAGAACGCAGAGCTGATCCCGGGCGATGCAGCAAGGGCCACCATTGCCTTCGCCTTCTTCTCCATCGGCACCTGGGTACGTACCCTGTGGGCACCGTGCCCCCCCCCCCCCAGCCTGAACGCACCTCGGCTTACGCTCACCACGCTCATGTTCTCGTCTTTTAAACAGGGAGGACTGGCCTTTGTCGCCTTCAAGATGTACAGTAAGGGAGTGGAGAACTTTGTGGAGAACCCTGCAGACCCAGCCAACAACCACGCCACCCCCTACCCCCCTGCCTACCCTACGTACCCTAGCGGGGGGGGCGAGAACTATCAACAGCCCCAGTTTGCCACCATGCCGCCCCCACAAGAAGAGGGTGGCTACCAGCCGCCGGTTTACTGAGGGTGGGCGGAGTCTGGTCACATGAAACAGTGGAGGGAGGGTTTGGTTTTTAAAGCAGCTGTTCTTTCCCGTTTCACTCCATTTCCTGCACCCCACTGTTCGTTTGTTCCGAGTCTGTGTGCAGGAGCTGCTGAAAACACACGTGTCTGTTCAAACCCCGTTCGTACTGGTGCGAGTATGTGCGGACCCCCACCCATTTGCTTGTATCTTTCTAGGGGTCCTAACCTTTGTATTGGTGAACAGCCAAATCCCATAATATCACTGAATGGTGGGGAGAGTTTTAGGAATGTCAATTAATTCTGTAATTCTCGTTTTGGGCGGGTGTGTATGGAGGACAGCCCTGAGCTTGGATCTGGCGCGGTACTCGACACACCAGCCCATCTGAGGTCACCACTAACGGTGTCGGGTGCCGTCACGGCTCGTCACACCCCAGCCCAGCCCCGGAGGAATTGCATTAGCATTTTTGCCAATCACACACTAACTGTGCCTTGTTCCCTGTATGCTTTTCTTGGCATTCAGAATTGATTTTGTTGTCCTTCCTTGAAGAAACTGATTTTACTCTGTTTTCTGTTGTATAGGTTCATTTAGACTGTTGAGGCTGTGTTTCTGATAACGCCGTCATATTTATTTTGTGTGTGTGAATGTGTTTGGGGAAGGGTTCTGCAGAAACACTTGTTTTGTACAACCCAGAGTTTTTTTGTTTAAAGTAAAAGTGTTCAGCAGCTGATAAGGTGTCTCTTGGAAATCTCTATGGTTACGGGAAATGTGTCCATAAACGGCATGAAAGAAAGCATCTTAGGCCTGAGGAACTGAGCCCTCAACCCCCCAATGAGAGTGAGCAGTAAACCGGGGGGGGGGGGGGGGGGCAGTTAATTTCAATGCCCCGAGTACCCGAGTGTAGCTATGATGTCATCTCCACAGGCCTTGGGAAAGGCCACGTATTCATTGAGTAACCTCAGCAGCAGATTACAGCTAGTTAATTATTAATATTTTCAAAATCCAGTTTAAGCACTTGAACGTTGGAAACCGTTAGAGAGCATGAGCAGTTAAAACACCACTGACACGATGGGACTGTTACCCAAACTAAACAGGCAGGTAGGTAACATTAGCTTTTGTTCATTAAGTTATTCTAGTGATTAAAGCTGGTTGGCTTCACTTGGCCTTTTGGCAGCAGAAAGATGAGCACGCTGGTGGGAATGCTGCTCTGCGGGTCAGGACTGGCCCCGCGTGGAGCCTCAGGGCTCAACCTTGGGCTAAGGAAACAACCTGGTCTAGGAGTAGGATTTCAGTTATGCAGTGAAACAGATTTGTATGTCGTACAAAGGCTCCGAAGTTAATCCCAGAAAATGTGTCCCTGTAATGCACCTTAGATCCCACTGCACGTTTGGGACGTTCGCCAATTAATCATGAGATGGGAGACCATCTGGTCAGAAGGATTTTTCTTACCCCCATTTTTATTCAAAAAACACCTTTAAAAAGATGCCCACAATTTTTACAAGACCCACACATTGGACATAAGATTTACAACAGAGTTCAGGAACATCATAAAGCTAATGGCTACAGACACTGTGCTTTGCCCGGAAATACATCGTAGGTGAATGGGCCGGTCTATCTGGCGCGTCTGAGCCAATATCACCCACTGATCACAGCACCACCCTTGATGTCACGTTAAATGTGAACTGTCATCAGCAGCCTGAGATGCTTCTAGATGCTGTATCTATGAAGGAGTGTCCAGGGTGGCCAGTGACCTTTTCTGTGACGGTATAATACTCACAAAAAGTTATACGGCCTACTTATAGGTGGAAAAGACCCAGAACCTTCTCACTGTGCTTCAGAAATCATAACTAAAGGGCTGGAATATTCCCCCAGTTCTGTATATAAAACCCCCATAGATGTACACAACACTACATATATAAATACAGCATATAATGCTTCCCAAAAGCTCCCCTTACCAACTCATATTGTTGGAACTCTTCATTTACCGGCTATGCTTTCGGAATACGTAGTCCTGCTAGGTAAACGTCTTTCACTCAAAGGAGTACCAGTTTGTTCCTTTGCTCATCACTGGGGCTGTTCCCCTCAAAGGTTTGCCAATTGTGCCCTATGGCTGTAGGTAAGTGTACCTTTTAAGGTACAGAAATGGACTCTGAGGAACATCCAAGGTACAAACATTAATGTACCCCCCAGTAGTACCAAAATAAGTTCCGCACAGTCAATTTCTGTGCCTTAAAGGTACAACTGAGGGACCCTTGAGGGTACAGCCCCAGTGAAAAGCAAATGTAGAGCTGGTACTCTTTTTCTCTGTAGGATATATATTTTTTTTCCAATCTAACATGTAGTCCAAGGTCTAGCTTGGTTAAATCACTTGCCAACAGTAACAAATCACTCCAGGTTTGTGCCCCCTAGTGGTTAGTTGATATAGTTACTAGCATACCTAAATGGTTAAGGAATTTAAGTGAACGTTTTAAGCATTCAAGCTCTACTGTGCATCTTAGTGCTGTAACGCTTTGGAGCTGATGCAGACGTAAGCTGCATTAAAATGTTTAACACGTATTCGGCGCTCCCATTTTGGCATAATCTTGTCTCTCTCAGTTGTGCAATGGAGCAAAGAGTTTGCGAGGAAAACCCACGTCCAGCTTCTTCCCTGGGAGGGCCTGAGGGGGTGTCTCGTCCCTCCAGGGGGCGCTGTTCTCCTTCTCAGCCATGAGGCCCCCGTAGCAGGCCCGGCACACGGCCTGGTACTTGTCCGCTCCTCCGATCACCTCCACCTGGGGCATGAGGTCACACCACCAACTGTAACAAACTTATGGTTCCAGAACTGGATCGATGGCTGTGCTACTGACTGGACAGAGCTGGGTCATTGGCCAAACGGGTCAGGATCACTTAACTTCGACTGGTGACTGTAACTTAGGCCTCAGCTTGCTTGAAATGCACTTTTTCTGAATGGACTTCCCACTAACGCTGCATCTGATCCTGATCAAAGCGGTAAAGCCTTTGCCGGTCGGCGGAGGCGCCCCCTGGTGGCCAGGCCGCAGCCCCTCACCTCCTTCTCGTCCCCCAGCCTCTTGGTGTAAGCCGCCTCTTTGAAGCACTCCATGCAGACAGCGTTCAGCTTCACCACGCTCTCCGCCAGTGGCACCAGGCCCAGGATGTTTCCGAAGGGCTGGGGGAAGGGGGACAGACTCATTATACAAAAAGCCCCCACAGACTAGCGGCCTGTGCAGTAGGAACTCTCACTGGGGAGACAGATTGAGTTTTTTTGTTTAGCCAGTAGGTGGCGTAGAAGAAAAGGAGCACCTCAAACACCAGCCCTGCCAGTTAAGTATTTGGGATGGTCCCTTTTGAACATATATTTAACAAGGACTGTTCTAAGTAGGTAAACAGCTGCTTCTGATAGATATGGAAGCTTGGCCACCCGGACCAGAACCAGCAATTATTAGAATATGCCTGTCATTCTGCAAGTGTGACTCATTCTGCAGTTTAGGACAGAGGCACCACTACCTTTCTCTGGAACGTCCCATCCAGGGCAGCCACAATGATGGTCTTGCCTTGGTTGGCCATCTCCTCGCAGAACTGGACTGTGTCTGGGAACTGTGGGAGGGAGGCGGATTCACATGAAAATGAACATATTCTATTGGTTGACTCAACTGGCAATCAAAAGAACCTGGCCACCTGTGCCACTCCCTTAGGCTGGTCTGCGGCTCACGGTAGTTATATGCAAAAATGTTCAGAGATAACCAATTAGAATGCAGAGGAGGTGGGTCCAAGACAACTGATTGGTTGGTCCCGCCTCCTCTACAATCTATTTGGTTCTCTCTGAACAAATCGTTTTTCCTTCTACCCTCATAAAATTTTTGTGGAAGAACACCCATGAGCTGGTCTGCGGCTAGCATAGTAATACTGTGTTCCATTTCAACACGGAACTTCCGAGTTCCTAGTTGGAAATTAACTGGAACGCTGGAATTCCGACTCGTGAACTTGGAGGAATCTACAGAACCCTGAGCTCAAAAACATAACTTAAAACTGTAGTTTTATACGGTTTAATAGCATTTATGCTTTATTTGTAGCTCATCAAATCTGTCATACACACAGTAATGTTCAAACGCTATCTGAGGACGTGTCGCTCCGGTGTTTTTATGCACAAAATACCATGTAATGTGTTATCTACAGATATTGCTAACAATTAATCAGGCTACAACTGATGCCCGTTTCATTAAGCAGGATTTCTTGCTTAAGTGGACACCTTATCGGATTTAAGATAGTCGGGGCTAAATGTAAGTGAACGAAGATAAAGGCCATTTGAACTGAATTAAAACCGGCTAAGCAAGAAATCCTGCTTTTCTGAAAGGAGCCCCTGGCATGGCTAAATGGCTTTCTGACTCGCTGGAGTGCGTTTAACTCATGGTTGACATCGTTCCCAGCTCCAAGTTCCGACCTCTGAGGCAAATGGAACGTAGAATAATAATTTATCTTCGAGTTTAGGATGATAATACGGACAGGTTACAGCTGGCCTCCCTATATGATTGTCTTGAACAAGAGTTTGCCATTATGTATTTCTGAATACAATGTCCATACAGGGATGTTGTACATTTTCAGCAGCTACCAGACACTATCAATAAGAAAACACAATACTTCTTTGACAATACACTTACAAACTGTCCCTCATCGATGCCGAGGACCTCAGCCCCCAGGGCCAGACCGTAAACCTCCTGTAACCGGCTGGCGGGCACCGCCTCCATGGTACTCCTGTGGGTGTGCACAGGGGTTGTTAGCTCCTGACAGGCACGCACAAGAACGCGGGGTGCGGGGTGCGCTTACATGTCGTGCGTGGCCATGCCCTGCTCGGAGTAGCGCGTGTCCTTGGAGTATTTGATCACCAGGCATTTATAGCGGGCGACCTGGAAGCGGCGCACTCTGCGCATCAGCTCGGTGCTGTAAAGGCAGATAGAAATGAAAGGTCGAACTGTGTCAAAGCATGCATTCCCTTCCATGTATCTGAGCTGATTTACAGTAGCTGCTCATTTTGTCCAACTCATATGGCGAAAGGACAAGGCACGGCAGCGTTTCCCTCTCTTATACCCCGCTTCCGCTCCATGCAGTCCGCCTACACGGACAAGCCAGACCCTGCTTACCTTTTCCCCGAAAACATCGGCCCGAAAATGACCTGCGAAAAGATTCACACAAATACATAAATTAATTTAAAAAAGAGGCAATAATACGTGGAATGGCGCCAAACATCAGCTCAGGTGAAATAAGCTCATTTACCTGGATATGTCCCCGGGCGCGCATCGGGGAGTTCGGCAAGATTCGCGGGACATTCAGGCACTCCATCTTATTTCAGCCTTTAAAAGCTAAAAATAAAATTAACAAAGGAGACTAAGAGCGCTTATTGCTGAGACGCGAGCCCTCCAGCCGGTTCAGTTAGGAAGTTGAAAATCGCGCCAGCGGCTTCAGCAGGCTGTGACGTCCCATTTCGAGGAGATTTCCGCTTCGCGGGGGCGAGTTCTTGTTTTACTGGGTGGTTCGGGAAATTCATTAATATTCATGAGAGATCCGCTATCTGATTGGTCGGTGAAAGCTCCCAACGACATGTGCTTCCAGTTTTTTCTGTCCAAGGCATTCACAGGCCAATCATCTCTCATGAATATTACTGAGATATTCCGAACGACCTTGTCGAAACGGAATATTCACTATATACCCAGAGTCCTTTAAAAACTATTAGGGGCGGGAAACCTGTTTGAGCACGGATAAATGTCTCAGGGACAAAATGTCTCGATTAAGAAAAAAAACTATGGCTACGTTTTAAATACCATCATGTCCGTGGTAAAAAATAAAAATGCATTTTAATAATAATATCCGTCAGAAGTCCACTTTCTGTTGATCCCCTGCTTTACTCTGACTTTTGTCACATTAAAACGATACTAAAATATGACCTGCAACCGGTACAAGAGCGAAGTGAAGGAAGTGAGGAAAAAAACTTTGATTGAACGACCATTCAGCCAATCACAGCAAAGGTATCGGTTGGAGTTAGTGACGAGGGAACGAGAGCTTCTCCTCTTCAAATAAGTAAAATGGCAACGTACTGTCCTTTTGGATTTGGGAAGGAAAGTTTTGAGGTACAATAAAGTGATATCTGATATTACATCACGCTAAATTAGAAAAGCAATGTCGTAGCGTCAGCATTTTCTACATAATGTATGCTAGACGAGATTAATTATCCCTGTAAGCCCTTGCTAGCCAAATGGCATTGTATTTAACGTTATAGCAACTACTAACTAGCTAGGGGGTAACTTTACAGTATATGTTAGGCAAGTACCTCCGTGATTTTCTTTTTTTTCAGTCTGTCTCTTGCAGCATCATACGTTCCTATCATACAGCTGTGTTTTGAAGCAATCATTCTGTTTGTGTCACGCAATATATAGCATGGAGTTGAGGTGACAGCTTCAAGCTTGCTACCACAGGCTTGCAATGTACTGAGGCAAGCTAGGCTATTGTAACTTATTCAGTGTTGTATGGTATTTATATTTCTGTAGTGTTGTAGATGCATATACACTCATATTTACACAGGGTTATGCATTCGTGTTATGTTAGGGATGATTTGAGCTTAGTAGTTAGTCGACTCTGCGGAGTCCCCGTCCCGTTCTCAGTAACCCTAACTTAAAGCCTTTGATGTTGTCCCCCACAAACGACTCTTGTTAAAGCTTAAAGCTGCAGGAATTTTAGGAACTGTGGCAGCTTGGATCAAAAACTGGCTAACTGATAGGAAGCAGCGAGTAGTTATTAGAGGCACTATGTCACAGTGGGCCTCCGTTTATAGTGGGGTACCGCAGGGTTCAATTTTAGGACCACTATTGTTCCTAATTTACATTAATGATATTGACACGAATACATACAGTAAACTGGTTAAATTTGCAGACGACACTAAGGTGGGCGGGGTAGCAGATACTAATCTAGCAGCAGAGAGGCTCCAACGGGATCTGGATTTAATTAGCGAATGGGCTGATACTTGGCAGATGAAATTTAACACAGATAAATGTAAGGTAATCCATGCAGGGAGCAGAAATATACAGTACAGATATTTTATGGGTTCCACTGAAATAAAGGTAGCTGATTACGAGAAAGATCTCGGTATGTATGTTGATGCTTCCATGTCCCACTCTCGCCAATGTGGGGAAGCAATAAAAAAGGCGAACAGAATGTTGGGTTATATCTCTAGATGTGTGGAGTTTAAGTCAAGGGAGGTGATGTTACACTTATATAATTCCTTGGTAAGACCCCACCTAGAATACTGTGTGCAGGTTTGGTCACCATACCTCAAGAAGGACATTGCTGCCTTAGAAAAGGTGCAACGAAGAGCTACGAGAATGATTCCTGGTCTTAGAGGAATGTCTTACGAGGAGAGGTTAGCGGAACTGAATCTGTTCAGCCTTGAGCAAAGGAGACTAAGGGGGGATATGATTCAGGTCTATAAGATTCTAACGGGTCTGGATGCCGTTCAGCCAAATGACTATTTCAATATTAGTCTAAATACTAGAACTCGTGGCCATAAGTGGAAATTAGCGGGAGAACATTTTAAAACAAATTTGAGGAAGCACTTCTTTACACAGCGTGTAGTCAGAGTATGGAATAGTCTTCCTGCTATTGTAGTGGAAGCTAAAACCATGGGTTCCTTTAAATCAGAGCTAGATAAGATTTTAACAACTCTGAGCTATTAGCTAAGTACTCCCCAAACGAGCTTGATGGGCCGAATGGCCTCCTCTCGTTTGTAAATTACTTATGTTCTTATGTTCTTATGCTCTGTGCTTGTTTGGGACAGGCAGTTGCAGCAGACTTCTGCTTCAGTGAGACAAGATTTTGTTGTCAACAAGGATGTTGTTAATGTTCCACAGGTGACCAATCAATTAGGTTTGACCACTTGCAACGAATTCAGCATTTATTTTGACTGGTTTTAAAAATTGGGGAGAAAAAAAGCCCTTGAATGATTCAGTTCACTTGAAAAATCAGAATGTCACAAGACCGCAATAACAGCACATGAGCATGAGGACAGGTCAGTTCAATCTCAGCTATCTAGTGTGGCTGCTAAACAGCAGGAGGAAGCTAGGGCATGTCTTTGAAAATCATTGGTGGTGTGCAGGCATGGCTTACTTGATCAATTACTCAAGTACAAATCAGAGGATGATCCTTGCCAAGTGGTTGATGGGTGGAAAGGATGTCTATACTTCAGCTCCAATTCAGAATGAATTCCTGCAGTTGCTTAGCAACTCCATCATAAGATGATATCAAATCACTTCCACACTTGCAGTTTGCTGTGATGACGGATGGTACACGAGATGTGCCCAGAAAAGAGCAAGAGGCATTGTGTCTGAGATATGTTGACCATGATCTAGTTCTTTGGACTTTATGAGGTTTCTCTGACTACAGGAGAAAATCTAGCTAGAGTGGTGATGGATGTGTTACAGTACCTGAATTTGCCCATCATTGGATTATGGGGACATGCATACAATGGGGCGGCAAATATGACAGGCAAATACAACGGAGCACAGGCCATTATCAGGACATAACCTCTTGCTCATTATGTCCACTGTGCTGCACACTGTGTTAACCTTATTACACAGCAGGCCTGCCACTGCTTAGCTGGGCCACTGCTTAGCTGGGCCACTGCTTAGCTGGGCCACTGCTTAGCTGGGCCACTGCTTAGCTGGGCCACTGCTTAGCTGGGCCACTGCTTAGCTCACTGGGTTGAGTGTGTGGCTCTGACCCTGATTCTCCAACATCACGGCTTTGAAACTGCCTAGTGACCTGCTTCATCAGTCATTTGTTAATTTTGTGGCCAGTGGTGGCTTGATGGTTAGAGAAGCACACTTGTAATTGAAAGATTACAGGTTCGAATCCCCGACCAGCAAGGCACCACTGAGGTACCCTGAGCAAGGTACCGCCCCCAAGCACTGCTCCCTGGGCGCTGAATTAGCTGCCCCCTGCTATGTCACGAAGGTCACATATGGGTCAAATGCAGAGGACACATTTCGTTGTTGCGCACTGTGTGCTGTGGTGTGTTAACAATGACTACTGATCACTAAATTCTACTGCCTCAAGATTTATTGGCACTCCATGGAGTGGGTCAGCTAGTTAGGAATTTTGTTTAGGCAGTCAATGAAACTGAAGGAGATTTTCAAGGGGATCTGAGGAGGGCTCCTCACACTATAAGACCTCTTTGTCCAACAAGGTGGACAGTTCGCACTAATGCTATCCGTGCTGTAGAGAACCAGAAGGAGCGTCTAATGCATGCTTTGGCTGAGATGGCAAAAAGTGAATCGGATGTAGTTACTAAGGCACAGGCCTTATGTTGGGAAATGTTGTTCTTGGTATTTTCTGTGCTTTGGAGGCAACAGCGGAACTGGAGGCTCTGAATGTGTCCCTCAGTGTGCAGTTTAGGGAATGATTTCTGCAGGAAGGAATGCAAATGTTCAGAAATCTTGAACGAGTCCTCTTCACTGGAGAGGTAAAAGGTGTCATGCAACAGTACCCAGAACATAACTCGGACTGCCTGAAAGTACAATGTTTAGCAGGAAGTACAGTTTCCAGTCTAGCAGTGAAGTTGCAGTCTTTCTTCAGGGGAAGGGTCCAGATGTCCATGGCTTCTTTGTTCTTCGACTGCTTCATGTCATTTAGGCCGTTTGTTACTTTAACAGTAACATTTGCATGGTTTTATTTGCATAGTGTAGATGTAAAGAAAATGTTGAAATGCAGGAAGTTATATATAACTGCCCGTGGTTATAATTATGTTATAATTTGGCTGTGATCAATTCCCCTTGAAATTTACTTCCCCATCCTAGAACCCACACACACACACTTTAAAAAAGCTTGATACACCCCTTGGGGCGAAAGTCCATTTGGTTCAGTTTTAGGCGTTGTATCTATCATGAGGATGTTTTAAGAAACAAGTCCTTGGTCCCTCTTACCTTTGTGCTGTCTCATGTTAATCTTTTTTGTTTGATAAACCTCAAAGCGTGAAATGCAGTTCATCTAAAGTGCAAAGGGGTACTGGGGCCTGTTGAATTCAACACCAGAACTGAAATCGGAACCAAATCATTCTCCAGGATAAAAATGTGTTATTCGCATATAGAGTAATACTGATTGTAATCTTTAGAAAATAAATGCTCATAAGGATCCACAGTCTGGGATTTAAGCTTGGGGAGGCTGTGCTGGCACCAGACGAGTTAAAAGCCACAGTGTTTGCAGACGATTGCGCGTCTGAAGCGATCCGGCAGGTCAGGGTTTCAAAGTCCAGTTCAGGCATGTTTTGTCTGACTGCCTGCAATATGGCCACCTGGAAGGAAATGAAGCGAGATGTGAGTATGTGGTGGTCCCATAACCGGGGCGAAAGGCACACTCGTGGTCCGGACACTTACAGGATAATATGGCGTTTTTGCTTGACGTTTCCGTGTTGTTTTATGCACAAGAATATACGACCGAGGTTTCGGTATACTTTAATGTATACGACTAATGTTATGCAATATACAGCCGTGGTCAAAAGTTTTGAGAATGGCACAAATATTAATTTTCACAAAGTCTGCTGCCTCAATTCTTATGATGCCAATTTGCATAAACTCCAGAATGTTATGAAGAGTGATCAGAGGAATTGCAAATAATTGCGAAGTCCCTCTTTGCCATAAAAATGAACTTGGTCCCAAAAAAACAATTTCTACTGCATTTCAGCCCTGCCACAAAAGGACCTTCTGACATCATTTCAGCGATTCTCTCATTAAAACAGGTGTGAGTGTTGACGAGAACAAGGCTGGAGATCACACTGTCATGCTGATTGGGTTAGAATAGCAGACTGGATGCTTTAAAAGGAGGGTGGTGCTTGAAATCATTGGTCTTCCTCTGTTAACCATGGTTACCTGCAAGGAAACACATGCAGTCATCAGTGCTCTGCACACAAAGGGCTTCGCAGGCAGGGATATTGCTGCTAGTAGGATTGCACCTAAATCAACCATTTATCAGATCATCAAGAACTTTAAGGAGAGAGGTTAAATTTTTATGAAGAAGGCTTCAGGAGCCCAAGAAGGTCCAGCAAGCACCAGAACCATCTTCTAAAGTTGATTCAGCTGTGGGATTGGGGCACCACCAGGACAGAGCTCGCTCAGGAACGGCAGCAGGCAGGTGTGAGTGCATCTGCACACATAGTGAGGTGAAGACTTCTGGAGGATGGTCTGGTGTCGAGAAGGGCAGCAACGAAGCCACTTCTCTCCAAGATAAACATCATGGACAGACTGATATTCTGTAAAAGGTACAGGGGTTGGACTGCTGAGGACGGGGGTAAAGTCATTTTCTCTGATAAATCCCCTTTTTTTTGTTTGGGGCATCCAGGAAAAAGAGGAAAAGGTGAGAGCTACCATCAGTCCTGTGTCATGACAACAGTAAAGCATCCTGAGACCATTCATGTGTGGGGCTGCTTCTCAGCCAAGGGAGTGGAATCACTCACAATTCTGCCTAAGAACACAGCCATGAATAAAGAATGGTACCAAAACATCCCCCGAGAGGAACGTCTCCCAACCATCCAAGACCAGTTTGCTAATGAACAATGTCTTTTCCAGCATTATGGATCACCGTGTCATAAGGCAAAAGTGATAACTAAGTGGCTCGGGGACCAAAACTTTGACAATTTGGGTTCATGGCCAGGAAACTCCCCAGACCTTAATCCCACTGAGAACTTGTGGTCAATCCTCAAGAGGCAGATGGACAAACAAAAGCCCATAAATTCTGACAAACTCCAAGCATTGATTATGCAAGAATGGGCTGCCATCAGTCAGGATTTGGCCCAGAAGTTGATTGATAGCATGTCAGGGCGAATTGCAGAGGTTTTGAGAAAGAAGGGCCAACACTGCAAATATTGACTCTTAAACTTAATGTGATTGTCAATAAAAGCCTTTGACATTTATGAAATGCTTGTAATTATACTTCAGTATACTGTAGAAACATCTGACGAGAAGATCTACAAACACTGAAGCAGCAAACTTTGTGAAAACCAATACTTGTGTCATTCTCAAAACTTTTGCACACGACTGTATATCATATGTGAGGTACCTGCAAGACACTTGTGTTCTTAGAGAAATCATCCAGTGTTATTTAGAATTGAATTGTGACCAAGCCAGTGAAATTTCAAACCTTAGAGTAAAAATTGTCACTTAATCCGTATGATGATTAATATAATTATTAACAGGGATCCATGAGTAAAATGCAAGGCAGAAACATTCACTGACCGCCCCCTAATGCTGCCATACAAATGTATACCCGCAGCCATCCACAATAATTTATAGTTGAGAAAATTGAAAGTAATATGCTTATAGTTATGATATCTTATGAAAAATAGATCAATAACCAGTAGACTTTTGTCTAATATTGCTGGTGAAACTTGCCAAAGCTCATTAGCGGGATAATCATTTATTATTATTATGGTTGATCTAATTTTCTGATACAGAAATATGGAGACTCAAGAAAAAATTATGTATTAAGTGTAGGTGACGTTCAAAAAGAATTCCATTTGTTCTTGCTACTTCTGTCTCTTTTTGCATGATTTCCAACTTAGCGCTGGTGCTTGTGGTCAACCAGTCAGAAAGTTTATCGCTCTTCAGCAGTTCTTGTTCCAAGGAAAACTACCTAATTTGGAGTAGGTACTAAAACGGTTCTGGATCTGCCTCCGGGGAACTATAATCGGCTGACTTCCTGCGGTGTGAACATGACAAAGGTCCCTGCTTCTGGAAAAAGGTTCTGGTTCCAGAAAAAAGTGTGTGAAAGCCCCTTTAGTAAAACGTGCCCACGTTTCAAGATATCTTGGGAACGAATTAATAAAACGTCACCACGATTGAACTGAAACGCTGAACTTGTCCCGTCCGAGGGTAATGCCTCTTGTGTCAGGTGAAGACACCAAAACAGAATGTGAGTGCTCGTTGCCCTTTTTTTCCATTTTTGATTTGAGCACAAAATGGGTAAACAGGTAACAACTATGACGCGTTTTTCCATTTCCAGTTTTGTGCTCAAATCACGGAAAAAACGGACAACAGGCAGTAACAACATTTCACTTATTTCTCGAATCTTTTCGAAAGCTTCCTCTACAGTCCACCTGTTCGCCAGCAGCAGCATTTCTGCATTCGTGTTGTGGCTTTTGCCTTGTGTTGACCCCTTTGGGCCCCCGTATACATGACTATAAATTGATTCATTAAATTCATTTTGTTTGTTTATTATATGTGTAATTACTTTGTGATTTGAGTGTAGGACATGATTTTTGGAATGTCTTCCGGACCACATGGTGTCATACAGACCTGTCACGGTCTACAATGCAGCCATTATTATCCGGCGTGCTTGTTATGCCGGCTGGCCATGGGTATGGCCACCAGCAGAGGGCGCCGTGAGCAGCCCGAATGACGAGCCGGATGTTCCGCAGGAGCTCTGCCGGCAGTACTCGCCCAGCCAATGGTCGCACAGAATGTCCGCGGACGAGGTGATAAAGGCCCACGAGGCATCGCTCAGAGAAGGTTGGTCTGTCTGCATCTCTCAGTCCACTTGCACCCAGGTGAAGCCTTATGTGTAAACCTCACTGTGAGTTCAGCCACCACCCCCCCAGACTGACAGCCTATGTGTGTGCGTGCCAGGCACAGAGAGGGCGCGCAGCATCACCCAGACGCTACTCAACGTGCCGTACGGAGAAGGGCAGCGGGAGAAACTGGACGTCTATGTGCCCACCAACCCCTCCCTAGGTAGAGTCCCTGCAGCGTGTGTGTGTGTGTGTGTGTGTGTGTGTGTGTGTGTGTGTGTGTGTTTGACCCCTCCCCCCAGGAATACCAGGTCCTGGCCTTCAGTGTGTAGTTTCATACCAAATAGCCAATCGAAAGCTAGGGTGGCTGTGCCTGACCTCCGACCCCTGATGTCACTGATGCCCCTTTCCGTGTTTCCTGCTGCAGAGATGCCCTTAGTCATGTACCTTCATGGAGGCTACTGGGAGGCTCTCAGGTACGAGGTCCCGCGTCCGTCCCCTGACGAGACACGGGGGGGCGCATCCTTACGGTGCCTTTGTCCGTATTTGCGGTCCCTAGACAGAAAAGATTGATCCCATTGAATATCGACTGCTTAATTGGAAATAATATTCAGGGAACATTTTTTCAAGCCGTGTCACGTGACTGTTGCAGCAAAGAGGAGTCTGGCTTCATGGCGGTCCCGCTGGTGCAGAAGGGCGTGGCCGTGGTGGCCGTGGATTATGACATTGCTCCGGGAGGTAAGCGGCCTTTTGTTAATTCAGCCTAATGAATCGACAAACACCCAAGTCACTAGGTTGCATTACAGGTTGATCTTTATCTAGCCCTGTCGCTTCTCCTTGTAGGTAATATGGATCTGATGGTGTCTCAGGTCCGGCAGAGCGTGGTGTCCGTTGTCCAGCAGTACGCCCACATCAGGTACCAGAGCATGTCACATGACTCAGCAGTACGCCCACATCAGGTACCAGAGCATGTCACATGACTCAGCGGTACGCCCACATCAGGTACCAGAGCATGTCACATGACTCAGCGGTACGCCCACATCAGGTACCAGAGCATGTCACATGACTCAGCGGTACGCCCACATCAGGTACCAGAGCTGGGTCACATGACTCAGCCTGGAGGTATGGCAGTGGCTGGTATGCAGAGAATGGCCTCCCTGTCTTACTCACTCTGCAACCTGTGTGCCGATTTATTTGGTGAAAAGAGAAGCTCCTTACTGCCTTTCCTCATCTCCCCCTCCCCCTTTCTTTCTCTCCCCCTCCCTCCCTGTCTCCCTGTTTTCAGTGGTGTGTACCTGTGTGGTCACTCCGCTGGGGCTCACTTGGCAGCGATGATCCTGTCCACAGACTGGTCTCAGTACGCCGTCACCCCCCAGATCAAAGGTACGAGCTCCCACTGCTGTGTGAGATGGACTGACGCCACTAAGCAAAGACACTGACCTGATTCTGCAGAAGGGGAGGGAGGTCCAGTCAGTTTAAATCGACCTGGGAAACTGCACCGCTGATGACGAGACATCGGCATTCAAGCCTCGTGTCCGTGTTCTGTGGTGAAAATGCCTCACGCCATCTCTAGCTGACTCTGGATCAGTTCTGCCCCCACTCAGAAAAGCTGAGTCGCACACTGTCTCAAAGCTGGTTAGGGGCGATTTTCCCACTGAAGGGACTCCTGACAGATGACTGGGAGAGTGTGGTGTTCTGGTAACCGATGGAACCACACCAGTTCTAACAGAAGCAGAAACTTGACCGTTGGCATATGTGAATCCAGGCTGGGTCTGAATCTGTGGCAGGTCTCTACGGACACGTGTTTGAAGAGTAGTGTAGGGTTAGGGTTCGAGATTTGTGCCTCTCGCTTGTATTCACGGGAAAGCTGTATTCAGGAAGCATCTGTCTATCAAAACAATGTAAAATATACATGGTTCATCAGTTACAGGCAACTCAGTTACATCATTTTATTTTGCAGGTGCACTTCTGGTTAGTGGCATTTACAACCTGCTGCCCATCCTGTCCACTTACGTCAATGAGCCCCTGAAGATGACGGAGTATGTGACCATGTGACCACGTGACCATGTGACCTCTACAAGGAGGACTCTAGTCCAGAGCACCCGCCTTGCACGAACTCTTTCTTTATTGGGGTCACACTCTTATCAGAGTTCTCAAGCTTTTAAAATTTTTATTTTAAAAAGACGTAAAATGTAGTGAAGCTCAGTCTGTGGTGTGGAGAATGGTAAATTAGCCCAGTGCTTCCCCTTAATGGTATGGTTATATTACTGGACACTGTTAGCTTAGCTTAGCTTCTGTAATAATCTGGCCTCTGTCTGTGCTTCTTCCTCTCACAGCTGTGTGTTAAAATGAGCTGCTTTCATCTCCAGTGCAGCAGTGTGTGCATCTGACTGCAGTGACAGCCTGTGCTTGGCCGGGACATCCACGCACTGCATAATCTAACCCCCCCCCCCCCCCCCC